AATTATCCAAGAAGATATAGAGTTTCAAAGAAATGGTGGATATTGGTATTAATTTTACCACCTCGAAACTCGAACTGGGGAGAACGTGTCGTTTTTCAACTTGTGTCTGTGAGGATTTTTACTTCAAGATGAAAATTGTTCACAGTTTTACCTATCGGTTTACTGTTTAAAGACACATATACGAATACTCTCATGAATATGCAGGGGTGATAAAAGTTGCTCCAATGTTCTTTTGGTGAAATGCTATTTTTGTTAATCAACGTTGGCTATTTTGTCATTAATTATTGTTTAAGTCAAGCGATTCACAATTCATAAATTTGATTAATGAAAATTCAACGTGAGAGATTTGACTCCTACTGATGTATCATCAATTGAAAATGACCAGTGGGCCAATGTTCTTTTAACATATGAAAGCCGCATCTGCACCAATTCAATAGATGGCAGGGAAAGACTATATCGCCGAGGTGAACAAAATGAACAATTTGATTCTACTGCTTCTGTCTCCTATGGCAGAGGTTTAGTCATGGTTAGGTTAGTCAAGAAACGACACATCCACATACAATTTGAGTTTTGAGGTGTAAAATTGATACCAATATCCACCATTCCTTTGAAACTCTCCGTACTTTCTTTACACCCCTGTATATGATGGAAACACTCATCGTCTGAAGGTAATTATTTCTCAGATGTATTTGTGAAGAATGAAGCTACATTTCGTGAAGAAAAATATTTGAATCGAGCGATCGGTTCGAAAGATAATTGATGTCAAACTTAGTGTAAATTTTGCCCGTTCCCCTAATTGTGCCAGTGTGTGTAGTTTTGCAAGGCTTTAAACCGAAAATACGAATATCAGATATCTTTTTTTTTTCAGTTGTATACGAGGTATGTCTAAAAATGTTAATTTTGTTCAAGTGTAAAGTAGGTATAGTTTAAATACTGTCTGTAGGTTAATCGAGGAGGTGGTACATTCATTTTACTTGGTTCTTTGGGATTTTCTCTCCTCGTTTCTATAAAATAAAAGTATTCGTATTATTTCAATATATTTGTAGAGGGACAAATCAGATGATTTGCCCCAAAATGTCACTGCGTTTAACAAATTTCTCTATCAGGTAATCTAAAAGAAAAATCCAGTAGCTTGTCAGTGACAATTTGTTTGAAAAAATTTTTGAAGGAAAGAAATATAGATATATTGAAAAAATATCGAATTTGTACTTATCTTTGGACGTTTCGGGACCGATTCTGCTCCCGTTCTCAACATGTAAATGCAAATTATTTTTCTATACGCAGCACAACTTTCAAAGATTTGTCCCTCTACAAATATATTGAAATAATACGAATACTTTTATTTTATAGAAACGAGGAGAGAAAATCCCAAAGAACCAAGTAAAATGAATGTAGGTATAGTTTATCCAAAAACAATTGCAGAATCTTGTGCCGCACCTGCAGTCACTTCAAAGGAAACTTCAGACACGCCGAAGCCGCACAGTGCGAGGTATTTTGCAATTGATAATGGATATACTTTACCTACTTTCTTTTTTCGAGAATATCGAAAATCATTATCAGTGCCGGATTTATACTCCCTTACGCCGGGGGCTAACTTTTACGATGCCGCCGCGCCACCGCCAAATTTTTTATTTTCAATTGTCAGATTCAAAATTCAAATAATTCTTTCACTGCTTCTTTTACAGAGCATGTAACAATAACATGAAATAATTATGCAATAAATCAGATTATATTTACTTCACAAGTTAAACATAACAACAAACAACAAAGATTTTTTTCAGATGAATACTAAAATACTTTTCTTGATTTTTTTTGATGCAAAGTCGTCAACGGCATCATCAAAATTCAGATTTAATGAATGTCACTGTTGATATTCAAAATTGATAGGATATTCAATATATCCTCCACTATGGAATTTCTAAGGCAGTTTTTCACTCTTTTTAAAGTTGAGAATGACCTTTCACCACTGGCATCACTAATCATCAGGGATAGTGAAAAATGAATGTATTTTAGGGCATTTCTTGACAACTTCGTCTAACTGCTTTTGTTAATTGATCTTCTGCCGTTTCCAGAATGCAGCACCTTCTTTTTTACTCATTTTCTTAAATTTCAGTTTCAATATTTATTAATTATTATTAGTACCATTACCAGCAATACCGACGACAACCTATTGCATACTGAATTCTGATTTTGGATTTTGTTATTGAGTTAAACGAATCACGAAATTACCCTTAACTCTACTGAGTAAAATGCGGTACTTCTTCACATCATCAAATAAAAGTATGACCACCGCCGCTTTTGTATTGTAGCGTCCAAGACACAGCTGACGCTAGATTAGTGCATGTTATGATTTTCACAAAAACAGTATCTCAACCAGTCAATGAATGTATTGCTGCTTGCTTTTCCTTTTTTCTCTCTTCCTCTACCGCCTCTTGAAATTCACCGCCGGGGGCTAATAGTCCCATAGCCCCCCCCCTAAATCCGGCACTGATCATTATTGATAAATAGAGAATAGTCCGACTAAAATTATAGGATTTTGGGTTTTAGACCTCGCAGAATTTTTTATGGAAAATGACTTTCTCCTGAAATTGATATTGAAAAAGTGTTTTATTAGTTGCCAACTTTTTCAGACATACCTACCATATATCCTTTATATAATTTGCTAAAATGGTTCGGAATAAAATTGATAAGGTGTCCAATTTGAAAGAAATGAGGTACCCTGTCATATAGTGTGTCCACCTCAAGGACTCACCACCCCTGTTGAAGTGTTATTAATTATCTGATCGATTTCGAAAAACTTCTATTGTTTGATCAATGGCCAACTGCGACCAATTTTATTGATCCATATTTCAGAAAGTACAATTAGGGATTTATTTCAAGAAAAATAATGATGGATTCTAAATCAGGATCAGTTGAAACATACCAGTACTGATTTTCATAATCAAACACAGGGTGTCTGAAAGATCAAATTATTTTTTTTTTAATTGAATATGAAATATTGTCTACTTATTCTTTTAAAAATTTTTTCTCATACACATCCTATATTTCAATGATAAAAATCGGTACAGATATGTTCGAAATAGTCCTCAATAATACTGTCTCATCAATTCTTTCCAAAAATACGACAGTACAAATTTATTAATTCGTTTTTTCGGACATACTCTATGTTTAATGATGAATGATGATGAAAATTGGTACAGTGAAGTCATCTTGAAAAATATTGCTTACTTATCCTTTTTAATTTTTTTTTCTCAGACATATATTGTATATTCGAATGCTAAAAATTTTCACAGATTTGTTTGAAGTAATCCTCAATAATGATGTGTCATCATTTCGTCCCAAAAATAACACAATACTACATTTTCTGATCACCTATTAAAACAAAAATTGCTTTTTTGGATACCCTGCGTTTCAAGATGATGAAAATCGGTACAGGAATATTTCAAGTCATCGTGATTCAGAATCTATTATTATTTTTTGTGAAAAATAAGCCCTAACAGACCAAGAATGAAATCACTCTCTTGTTGGATGAACATTTAAAATACCTATCCAAGTATCCAACAAAAGAAAGTTTTTTGAAATCAGTCAGATACTAACGATTTTACAGGTGTGGTGAGTCCTTAAGGTGGACACATTATAATAAATGTCCAGACACGCTGATGTATGATCCAATTACGCAATATGCTTCTTATTATAACAATAATTATCCCTCGTCGCTTCGCGACTCGTGATAATTCTCAAAAAATTTCCGGCGATTATTCATTCTCTGGGGAGATTATAGGTGATAATTTTCTGATCTTCATATAATGTGAGATATTCTCAATATCGATCCGTTTTTTTTTCCTGTCACAGAAAAAAATAGTGTATTATACACGGTAGAGATATTAGATTTTAGCTCACGGTTTTTTGTCTGCCTCCGCTACTCGACGGGAGACAATAAGACAATCTCGAGCTAAAATCTACAACATTTTTCCCTTGTATAATAAATAACTATTTTTACTGCAACAAAGAATTCCCAGTAATTAGATATTAATGGTGCTCAGTTCCAAATGAATAATATACTCTATTGAGTTTCATGATTTTTTTCATATTCATAATGTTTCTCATTCTATTCTGCAGGTCACTGTGATTGTGGGAATATAATAAATGTTGATCTCATGAAACAATCCGATGATAAAGTGAGAATCGAATGTAGAATTACAAACATCTTCAAAGTTAAAGGTATATGTGGAAAGAGATACCTCAGGGAACCATTAAGAACGAAGATGGTAGAAAAATTGAAAATAAAATCAACGGTTGTATTTCGATCTGAAGAGGCTGATAAGTTGATGGAAGAAGGAGATGTGGAACCTCCTCATCTATATAGAGCTGAGGTCTTATCAACAGCCAAAAATCAAATTATATCCAAGACGTATCTATCCAAGAACCCCATAACTGCTCTGCATTTCCTAAAAGTTGGCTCGTTACAAGGATCGATACATAATATAGGCTTGGATCCTGTTTTTGTACATTTCTGGTCAATCCACCAACAACACATATACAGATCTTGTATGAAGAATGATCACTGTGCAATTTCAATAGACGCCACGGGAAGCATAATAAAAAAAAATAAAAAACCTGATGGATCCCAAAGTAACAACATATTTTTATACAATGCTGTCATGTTTACTCGAAATAAACAAATTCCAATTTTCCATATGCTTACAGAAAAGCATAATACCAACATGATATCCTATTGGCTGGGGGAATGGTTGAGATCAGGTAATCCTCTTCCTGTTGAAGTCATATGTGATTCATCTATAGCACTGTTGACTGCATGTACACGAGTTTTCACTGGTTTTTTGACGATTTCTGATTACGTTGATGCTTTGTGCACAAGGCATATTGCTTGTTACATCAGAATAGACGTAGCTCATTTCATTAAAATGTATGCAGTTTTTTTGAAAACATGTAATAAGTCCGTTAAATCTTTATACTTGGGAATAATTGGTCAAATAATTATGTGTAAAGATGAAAACATGGCAAAAACAATTATATTTCATCTGTTACTGATATCGAAGAGTAAAAGGTGTGGGAATCTGCCATCCGGTGAAATTTCTAGATGTTCGACCAGTAAAAAATATTTGAAATCATTATTGGATCCCAATACTGCCTACGATACTGCATACGATATGGAAGAAACTGGAGATATCGATAGTGGAGATATTGATACTGAAAGTATTCTCTTCAATGACAATGAAGAAGTTGAAAATATTTGGCTTCGTTGGGGTTCACAAATTGATGAAGAAGTCAAAAACGTCGTCAACCAGGAAAATGCAGATGATGATAATGCTCATTTTCTCCCACAATTTTCTGAAAAGTTATTGAAAAGTTTGCGATGGTTTCCATTGTGGTCCAACATTTATCACAGCAAATTCAAATCTGCAAGAGTTCCAGCTTCCAGTGCTCCGGTAGAGGGAGAGTTCAACATTGTAAAGAATCATGTTTTCAAAATGTTTCCGAAGCCTATCCGACCCGATGTGTTTGTAGAAAAATATTCGGAATACATGAAAGGGAAATGTAAAATTATAGATGCTGAACTTACAGAAATAATGGATGTGGATGTAGTGACTGGAGAATATGATCCAGATGAAACATCGGGGAGGACTTTTGAAGCTATAAAAGCGATCCAGGAAGTAGAAGATTGGGGTGGATTGGCGACAGCAGTCAAAAGTCGTGGTTCAAGATACCTTACCAAGAATTACGATCTATTTCAGGCTACAAATGAAAACAAAAAATTACAGAAAATTCCAATTATGAAGAATGGTAATATATCGAGCTTACAAGTAAGTATTTATATGAACAATTGAATAAATCAGCTAATTTTTTTTCTACTGATTCAAGTATTAACAATATGAATAAATAATTTAGTATTTCGTAGGGATTTTCCAGTTATCATCTCCGATGATTATTATTTAATTAATAAGGACTTTTGTGTTGATTTGTAAAATAATTCCATTTTTCAGTAGTAATAATCCAGTTGTCCAAGGTGAGTCAAGCACAGGGGGCGACGTAGAAGTTTTTTTTTTATTCATCGTTATACATATCTCAAGAAACGGTAGGTCACAGCAAAATTGCGATTTTCAAAAATTAATATGAATCTATAGCGAATATCTCGAAAACAAAGAAAGATATGGGAAAAACCCATTGATACAATTTGATGGACAATTTTATCAGCTATAATTTTGAATGAATTGATTTTTTTGCTGTGACGAACCGTTTTCGAGATATGAACTATACATCTAAAAGAGGGAACGTAGCCCCCTGTACTTCGCTCACCTTTTAAGCTCGGGGACTTGTTGGAATTTTTACTTCCTATATACCCCGAACAGATTCCTATTGAAAAAAAAACGGTCCCCTTTCATGACCTCTACAACCCGTTCATTGACTGAACCATCAGTAGATATAGGTACATATTTTGGGTGTATGCTTTCATTTGCTAGCCCAGGGGGGAATGCACTCTCCCTGCGCCCTGCCCCTGGATTCACCATTGTCGTACAATCATATTTATGAAAAGTCGAAGTATTATTGAAAGTGTATTCAACAGAAATCGAAGACTATATTCCTGGATAATGCTACCCATTAAAGGCTATTGAACTAAATCTGAACACCCAGTATTTACAATCTGAGGATGAATGATCAATCTGTGGATAAAATATCATCTGATATTGAGAATTTGCTTTCTCATTCATATTCCGCTGATGTTGATGGATGATTCAACATTTTTTAAATTGAAATAATTAGATTTAAGGAATCGATATATGAATTCAGATGGAATTTTATTTTCGAGCTCACCCAAAGAAATAAGCCATCATTATAATATCGAGTTATATGGATCCTTGAAGTATCAATAAATGAAATTATTTCATCCTGTATATAATATTTCAAAATATTTCAGGCAATAAAATTCAAGAAAGAAGAATTCTCTTTTGGCAATACGTGTGCTTTTGATAGTTTATTGCAGATTTTCCTAGTAGGAGTTTTTGACCACCCCCAACTTAGAGAAGTATTGCTAAGATTACAAAAAGATATGAAATTTGCAGAGCTGGTTCTATACATTTCGAACAATGGAATCAACCAACATGCATACAGGTTGAGAGGTGAAATATTGAAGGAGATTTATAAAGAATCGACAAATGTTCTCCTGGAAAATCATTATTTGGTTAACTGCGAATCAAATATAATCACCGTTGTAACAAATATATTTGGAAATCTTCCAAGCATCCAGGAAGCGTCAACATGTGATCAAGGCTGTCCTATAAGGAACAAAAACTTGAGGTTTATATGTATAGAGCCGTTACTTCTTGGATCATATTCATTCAAAAACCTCCTTACAGAATATTTCATGTTGAAAGGACCACGTGAATGCCTGAAGGAAGGGTGTTCGGGAACCGAATACACAAGAATAATCAATACAGGTATGTATGTTGACTATTATTATCATGAGGCGCCGTTTAACAAGTGTGTTGTCGAGTGTGTTGACATGTTGTTAATTGAAATGCAAGACCGTGTCCAGGATTTTTTTCTTGGGAATGTCCTAGATAAAAAAGAGCTGCTGATTCACATTTTTCAATTAAAGGAAAAAAGTCGGATATAGGCCATCTTTTCTGGGGGAGGAGCAGCGGACACCCCTGACTCCCCTGTCGACATAGCCTTGTTAAAATGGGTGTCCCGAAATTACATAAAAATATTTCAACCACAGATTCTAGGAACAAAAATAGTTGAAAAGTTCATATAAACATGAGCCCAGAAATGCCCCCCTGGAGAGTTATAGCCATCTGAAGGAGGGCCCCAGATGATGGATTATTGTGAATATTACAGAAATCCTCTGTGATGGGATAAAAAAATTGTGTACAAGTATATTACTTTTCATGCCCGATTTGGAAATGTGAATGAATTTTCCGAAATTTTGATCAGGAGCGTGGGGCACTTCTCTCAACTTTTTGTTCTATGCAATTTTTGGCAGTTTGACCAGGAAACATGAAAATCATCATTTTTACTTAAAAATGACTTGTTTAGTTTCGATGGCACTCACCATTTTCGAGATAAATCGATTTTAAAAGTCTGCTGCGTGATAAAAATAGTACCTACATCAAAGGTTGATGAAAAAAGGGTATTTTCCATCGAAACATAAGTTTTGGGAAAATTTGGTACCCTATTATAAGGAAAAAGCCTCGGAGAAAGCACTATTTTTGTTACACAACAGACTCTTGAAATCAATTTATCTCGAAAATGATGCTATCGAAACTAAATAATAGTATCATTTTTAAGCAAAAATTATGATATTTTCATTTCTCCTGGTCAAACTGCCAAAAATTTCATAACAAAAAGTTGGGAGAAGAAGTGCCCCTAGTCCCACCTATTTCCCATATCAACATTTCAGAAAATTCTCAACCTTTCCAAATCAGTCATGAAAAGTGATACATGAATAAAACTTTGTGTTATTCCTTCACAGAGGGTTCCGAAAATATTTACAAAAAAAAATCTGGAGCTCTCTTTCGGATGAATTTCTGGGATCATGTTTATATGATCCTTTTTTACTATTTTTGTTTCTAGAACACTATATGAGAGAAATACTGTGATGCTTCAGATCTAGTTAGACTATCCAATATATATAACAAAAACTTACCAATACAGGGTGATGTACGTAGGCCACACATCAGAAGTTGTCTAATTTGCAGTTGAATTAAAAACTTCAAAATTGGTGTGCTTTTATAATCAATAGTTTCCGATCTACCAGAAATATTTTTAGTCCTCCAGCTGTACGGGGTGTGCCAAGAGTTGGCACCAACTTTCTTAGTTTGAATGGAATCCTATATTTTTTCGCAAGGTTCGATTGTCCTTTTATATAATTATTCTGAGTTAAGACGACTCCATTTATGTTGAGTTATCTATCACAGTTTCCAAGGTATTTCGATTTTTCTGAAAATAATTGCCGTCGTAGTAAACAAAATTATTTGTATCTTCTCTAAACCGTTCAGAATTAGAGCACCAAATTTGTCCCTATGATTTGCTGCATAAATCACCGTTTTTTCCTCACGACTTAAAACTTGTGACTTGAAACTTACGTCTTGACACTTAAGACTTGAAACTGTTACATAAATTCACCATATACAGGGTGGCCCACGGTCGATGGTACCTTAGACATAATAATATACGGAAAACGGTACATTGGATTATCCTGAAAATTTGGTTACTCTAATAAGCGTTTGTGATCTAACGATTCAAAATACTTTCAGCGAAGCAGCTTTGCCACTTTTACCAAAAAGTAGCATCATCTTTGTTATTTCAAATAAAACACCCTGTATTTTATTGCGTTTTTAGATTCTTCTTGAAGAGCTGATTTCATCAATGTATCACACTTGGGGTCTAGCAGGAATTATTACAAAGATATAGGGTGTTCAAAATCGAGATTTTTCAACTTTAGGATTTTTTTGTGTCGAAACTATTCACCATTGGTCAAAACGGATTACATGTCCCTATATTAACTTTTGATTAACTATCTACCGACATTTAATTGGAAAAAATACAGGATGGTCCAAGATTCAGAATTTTGATCACCCTGTATCTGTTCCAATTTAATGTCAGTAGATAGTGAATCAAAAGTTAAGATAGGGACAAAAAATTCCTGATATTGAAAAATCCCGATGTTGAACACCCTATATCTCTGTAATAATTCCTGCTAGACCCCAAGTGTGATACATTAATGAAATCAGCTCTTCGAGAAGAATCTAAAAACGCAATGAAATACAAGGTGTTCCATTTGAAATAACAAAGATGATGCTACTTTTTGGTAAAAGTGGCAACGCTTCATCGCTGAAAATATTTTGAATCGTTAGATCACAACGCTTATTAGAGTAACCAAATTTTCAAGATAATCCAATGTACCATTTTCCGTATACGTCTAAGGTACCATCGACCGTGGGCCACCCTGTATAAGCTGAAATTCCAAGCTAACTCCTGATGTCCTATCGATAGTACCATGCGCGGTCGATTTTCAAATGTCGCATTGAAAAATCTACGAATACTCCTACATGGAAACTAGGTACTTTTTTTATACCATACTACCATATCATTAAAAAAATTCAAATTTGAAAATAAATTACTTTAGCATTCCCTATACTTAATTCAAACCTCCATCGAGTTCTTCAATAAAAATAAAAATGTCAACGATATATTTTTCTCAGTGTATACGGTGGTGTGATTGAAGGTATATAAAACATCTAGAGTTGGCCGGGACTTCCAGCTTACTGTTTAATAACTTTGGTGCTCTAATTCTGATCGGTTTGCAAGATACAAATATTTTCGTAAACTATAATACAATATACGACGGTGTTTATTTTCAGAAAGATCGAGTTATCTTGAAAACTGTGATAGATGAGTCAACATGAATCGGGTTGGCTTATCTCAGAATTAGAAGACCAATTGAACAGTGGAAAAAAGTATAGGTTTCCACGAGGATTTCCATTCGAATTGAAAAAGTTGGTGCCAACTTTTGGCACCTTCTGTACAGCTGGAGGACTAAACATATTTCTAGTAAATTGGAAATGTTTCATCATAAGAGCACACCAATTTTCAAGTGTTTAGTCCAACTAAATGTTTGTATACTTCTAATGTGTGTTCTAAGTGAATCACCTTGTATACTTATTAGGAACAAAAAAAATATTTCAAATAATCAAGGTGGAAGTTTAATTCAATTTGGAATTGACATCCTGATATATCTGGTAAACAAGGCGTTTTCGGACATAATGTTTAAATGAACTTTCTTTTATAATTTGACCCAAAAAATCTGAAATTGAAATTTCATGCAATAATGAAGAAACACCCTGTATGATACCAGGAGCCACTAATAGATTATTTCGAATATATCAAGATGAAGCGAGAGCGAAAGATAATAATTTTTCGAGAATTTCGTACAGGGCGAACCATTATTTTCATGTCGAATAAATGATGAAATGAGCGCCCAATCAATTAATTAGATAATTTTTTTCAGGTGACATAATTTTCATCGAACCAATAGATTATGGTGAAGAAACGTCCTCAGTTCTGCTTGAAGAACTAAAAAAAAATTTCAACAACCCTTTGGAGGAAGAAACTGAGTTTGTATTTCTGGGATTAGTTGACTTCAAACAACCACATTCATTAACAAGAAGATCAAATGAAACAATCGGTCATTACACTGCAATAACAGCAAGACATACCACTTGGGTTGAATACAACGATTTAAGTGAGAAGGAAAGAAGAATGAATCATAGATACAAGAGCCATCCTCATCTTCTGATATTTTATAAGATAAAGAAATGATACTCTTTGTTTTTTCATATACCTATTTATAATAAAAGAACATCTTTATTTTGAAACTGAATTTATTTAAAACCTACGAATCCATTTTCTTTTTTTTCAATTGTTCCGGTCGCTACTTGATGAAAATCCATAGTCAATGGAAACAAACTTTATACAAATGATAAGATTAGTTTCGTTAACACAGTAGCTTCTTCAAGTGAAATACTCGTTCAATATACGTAAGTATTACTTGAAGAAGCTACTGTGTTAGCGAAACATGGTATTGAGTATTTTGTGGAAATCTTATCGTTTGTGAAGTTTTTCGATTTAATTGATAACATTATCCTAAGTGAAGTTGAGATAGGAATAGACGAATTAGTGATTTAGGACAATATTTTTCTCATGTATGACGACACATAAGAAAATAAATTGTATTATAGGGATCAAAAATTGCACTCACTTTATTACTTACTCTACTGGTCGATCTAACTGGTGATGACTATTTTTGATTTCCACCTCTATATAGGTCCACTATATCAGAACGTATACAGGGTGTTTCATAGGTAAAGGGAAATATTTCAATGGTACATAGGGGTCACCAAGGTGGTTCTGAAAATACCATATTTGATAGGTCTTAGAGTCTTCATAACGGAGATACAGGGCGATTTATCGATTTCGAATAAATATTCATTCGTCTATATGTATTGACCCACCCAGTATATTTTCGTCAAATTTGGTAAGGAGGTTATACTTGGGACGTTAAATTTATTCACCTATCGGGCGGAGTGAAAATCCAGGTTCGGCTTCAGGAAAAATTTACATTTATTCGAAATATCAAAATAACACACTGTATTCAATAATTCACACAGTAAATCAAAAGAATCGTACAGAGGAGGAAAAACTGAATTGTGTATGATGCTTTTTGTTTTCCCGCCACCAATTCTCATCGTAACAATCATAAACAGGAAGTTGAAAATATTTCAATTTGAAGAGTATTGGAATTATGAAACCAGTGTCAATTATGATTATTTGATATTTCAGTCAAAAAATCGCTCGAAAGAACTCACTAAGTCTCACAGTCTTCATAAGTCTTAAACTACCCAGTAACATTTTCTCAAATTTGGTAGGTATGTAGCTTACTTGGGACGATGGATTCATTAACCTATCAGGCGGAATGGAAATATTACCAAATAATTATAATTCGATAATTCACCCTGTATCTCTGTTATAAAGACTATGAGACTTTTCCTGAAGCTGAACCTGTATTGCCATTCTGCCTGATAGGTCAATGAATCCATCGTCCCAAGTGAGCTCAATACCAAATTTGAGAAAATATTACTGCGATGGGTAGTCTCATACTTATATGGACGAGTGAATAATTATTCGAAACCGACAATTCACCCTGTATCTCTGTTATAAAGACTGTGAGACTGAGTAAGTTTTTTCGAACGATCATTCAACAAAAATATATCAAATAATCATAATTGAAAGTGGTTTCATAATTTCAATACTCTTCAAATTGACATACTTTTAGCTTTCTGTTTATGATTGTTACGATGAGAATTGGTGGCGGGAAAACAGAAAGCATCTAAATCAGTTCAGTTTTTCCTCCTCTCCACGATTCCTTCGATGAACTCTGTCAATTATTACATACAGTGTGTTATTTTAATATTTCGAATAAATGTAAATTTTTCCTGAAGCCGAACCTGGATTTTCACTTCACCCGATAGGTGAATGAATTCAACGTCCTAAGTATGAGCTCCATGCCAGATTTTAGAGAAATATACTGGGTAGTTCAATACTTATAGACGAATGAATATTTATTCGAAATCGATAAATCGCCCTGTATCTCCATTATGAAGACTCTTAGACCTATCAAATATGGTATTTTCAGAACCACCCTGGTGACCCCTATCTACCATTGAAATATTTCCCTTTACCTATGAAACACCCTGTATAAAAGTATCGATTTGAAGTAATTATGAATATTGAACAATAACCATCATTCTTGTATGTTATTTTCCACAATGCAAATGGGTAATCAAGAAGATAGCTAGTGGAACTAAATGTAATTAGCAGAGATAATTAAATCAATATTTTAAATCTTGATCTATCGTTCCATTTTATAATCACAATTTATCTATAGAAATGGAGTTGTCATTATATGTCATTATACACTACATATATACAGACTGGTCCAACGAAAAGTATATGCACCTGTCTTTATTCCTTTCTTGGAATTTGAAGCAAACATTTCCTTTTCGAGTTGATATTTTTAAAACAATTTTCGCATTAGTTGTTTAAGTAAATTTCAACAAATATGAGAAAGATTATTTTATGCACTTTCAAATGTTATGTCAGTCAACTCCACTTTCCAATTGAGAATTCAGAATTGTGACAACCCCTCGCTAGAGGGTTGAATGCACCGGTTGAAGAATATGTCTGAAATGTGTCCCAGTCGCCCTCAAAATCAAAATCCACGTGTCCGAGCATTTCTGCTCAAAATTCCTACAAAAGGCTACCTTTTTGTTGGACCACTCTGTATGGAACTTTCCTCCTGAGAAAATATACAGATGCTCTTCAATTTTTGATAACGGGGGGGAAGGGCAAGGGGGCAATTGCCACCTCCCCCCCCCCCTCAGACCCTCGAAATGTCTGCAGATTTTAAAATAATATAGAAAAAATATTTCAAATTATCACTTATCTTTGGACGTTTCGGGACCGGTTCTGCTCCCGTTTTCAACATGAGGAGATTATTTCAATAGCGAAGTCGTATAATATGTCTTGAAGCTTTTCAGTTTTCAATGACAATTGGTGACGTTGGCAATCAAATGAGTTACAGGATGTTTTCATTAATTAATCTTGAATTTACCATTTTCATGGTCAGATTTTAGTAGTGAATACCATGTTCTGTCTATATCAACTGAACAAGAAGCAATGCTATTGTCTCTGCTTGCATTCTTTTAGTCTCTCTGATAGGAAAATTCTTCAAACGCAGTGACATTTTGGGGCAAATCATCTGATTTTTCCTTACTACACGTATATTGAAATAATATTCATATTTTTATTTAATAGAAACGAGGAGAGAAAATCCCAAAAATTTGGAATAATGAATGACAGATTGACCAATTATTCTATGGATTGACAGTTGCTCTTACATAATAACGTCACAATAAGTGGTTTGGTCATTTTAGTGATCTATATATTTACTCTTAATTTTCATTGTCAGATTCGTGGTCCATGGTCAGATTCCTAGTTTTTGCTAAAAAAAATTGCGAAAAATGGCTGTATTTGCCGAAAAAATTGCTAAAAAAGGTTATTCTGCCCCCCCCCCCTCCTCAATGCTGATTTCTGTCACTGTGCTCTATTTTCAATTATTCATGTTATCATATCTAAATTTCAGTAAGCTCTGTGAAAAATTAACGAATTGTGATTACAAACTCGATTGAGCCAGACTGCCTAGTTTCAACTTCCTTCATCATTTAGTATCCATATCCATGATCCATGACCATGAAATAGATATGTAGGTATCAAGCGTATAGTATATTTGAAAGATTATTCACTGGATTATGGTGCCTGAAGTGGTCTTTAATACCGACCAATGTCAGCAAGTAAGCAGGCAATCAGCGGCTGTCGTTTGAATCTTTTATTGCCAATTTTTCATGTTCATAATACCTCGAGGGCTACATACCACTGAGGTATCGCTCACTCGTAGTTATTCAATATAAAAAAGGAAGAAATATCATGTGTTGTGAACATTTTTGCGATCACGGGGGTTAGTTACGCAAGCGATTTGCCATATCGTCTGCTATTCATACCAGAGATGTTCGGGCGAAAGCCGACTGGCGATCCTGGGTGTTGTCACCGAACATAAACTTCAAATAATATGCGTGCCGCACCTGCACTCAGTTCAAACGGAACTTCAAACCCGCCGACGCCGCGCGGTGCGGTGTATTCTGCAATTGATTTTGGAAATATTTTTAGTAGTGTCCAAGATTACTGCATGATTAGGAGATAGTTCACTTATATACTGGGATCCGTTTGTCGGTACGCTCGAACATTACTTTTTTTGCTTTTCCCGGAAATCTTCGGGAAAACAAACGGTAGCGGCATGAAGCGGTCGACGAAGACGCGCTTGACGGTTATACGGGGGCGATTGCATTTCTAGCGCTCTTACACGGGACGTTTGGTAACGTTCACTGTTCACTCAAAAATCGAAAATTAGAATGAAAGTGGTTTTTGATATTTAAGAATAACTCAATTTGTATCAATCGAATAATAGTTGCTAATGATTCACTCTCAAATGATACACATTCGTTCTGAAAAACCTAATTTATTTATTTAATTTTATTTGAACATGTGAGTTTTGGTTCTGCTAGGTTAAGATCTAGATAGTCAAATCGTCGTTTTTTCCCTTGAAATGATGAGTGAAATACTCATGATTATAGTTATAAGTTAGTAATAAAATAGTAATAAATTATGGAATATTTGGAGTTTTCAAAATAATAATTGTTTAGCTATGGCTCTGCTAGGTTGACAGCAAGCTAGCAGAGCCGTTGGTTTACCCTGTTGAATGAAGTGTTAGATATCTGCGAATGTGGTAATAAACTAGTAATAAATTAGTAACTTATCGATGATACAACAGAATTTCAAAAAACATGTGATTTGAGTTTTGGTTCTGCTAGGTTGAGATCGAGATAGTCAAATCGTCGTTTTTTTCCTTGAAATGATGAATAAACAATTCTTGATTATAGTTATAAGTTAGTAATAAAATAGTAATAAATTATGGTATATTTGAAGTTTTCAAAATGATAATTGTTTAGTTATGGCTCTGCTAGGTTGACAGCAAGCTAGCAGAGCCGTTGGTTTTCCCTGTTGAATGAAGTGTTAGAAATCTGCGAATGTGGTAATAAATTAGTAATAAATTAGTAACTCATCGATGATACAACAGAATTTCAAAAAACATGTGATTTGAGTTTTGATTCTGCTAGGTTGAGATCGAGATAGACATCGTGATGGGT